TACGCGTCCCTGCTTCCACTGCCTATCAATTGACAGTTGATAAACAACAGAAATCTCGTCATATCTATATCTCGTCACATCATAGCGTTCATATTTATGGATGCTTACATATAAACGTTAAGATAATGATATTTAGAATCAATCTGTACATTAATAACAGTATTCATCACAGAATGGCTTTGGAAACTACTGGCAAAGTATATCTGCAGACTATACTATAGTGACTCCTTTGATAGTTATCGTTAGGATAACCCACGCAAATACCCATGTAGATAAGGTCTTGAATGGATGTATAAGTTATTACAGGCCATTACCTGATCTCAAGATATGAGAAAATGTAAAGTGTACTTGAAGCTCGCCCCCGAGACGAAGCGCTTGCTGAAACCCTCTGCATTACCGTTAATACGCCTAACTCCATCAGTATGTGGCGTTACAAATCCACGGTGGTGCCGGTTTGTACCGGCTGCTGCGCGGGGGTGACAGAGCCAGGCATGATGGAGAGACGGACAAGCCGAGCAGAACGCAAATGAAACACAAAATCGATCGCGAATTAAGGACTAGTCTTACCGCAGCAGCGAAGTGCTCATCAAAGGTGCATGGAGGAACGGTTTGTTCAACGTTAATGTTAGATAAAGATAAAAAGTAGGCTTCGGGGAGCAGTGAGCAACTACGAGATATATCCTGCGTGGGTTTAGTGTTATGGTGGGTTGAAAACGTATTCCAAGAAGTCTCCTAGTGGCATTACCTATCTATGGTTCTTCCTCTATGCTTTAGAAAGAGGTGGTGATAAATATCTCTAAGTTACATTGGTTTTGTATTGACTTGTGTTAAATATACAGATTTTGGTTATTTCTTGGTAAGTCATTTGGTGTTGATTGTTTATGTTTGTGCTTTCTCCCAGGGCACGTTGAAAAACGCCAGTAGGCGATATGTTTGATTTCATTTGATTTATTAGGCGATATGTTACGCCTTGAGAAATAAAATAAACAAACAAACAAACAAACAAGCAGTGGCAGTTAGAAATATCATATTTCCATGTAGATTTTGAAGTTATCTTGAAGTTATTTTGTACCCTGTCTCAATGATCTTTTTATCTTTGTTATTTGCAATTAGCCTTCGGACAGGAATTTGCAATAAATTTATCGTATCGTCAGCTATTGTCCAGTGATAGCGCAGTTTCCACCCTCGCTTTTATACGGAGAGTTGGTGATTCACGGTAGGGCGGTAAAAGGCGGTATTTCCGGCAGAGTCAATGCGCAACTCATGCATCCCCATCCACCGGACTAATCGTTCACGTCTTCCAATGAAACATCCGGACACAAACGGAAATCATTCTTATTTCCAGTTTCCTCAATAAGTGCTGCTATAGTGACTACATCTATCAAGATGTAATCGCGGTTCTTAATGGCGACACAATCTGGTAGGATCACTTGAAGCTGTCCCTAAGACGGATCCTCTATTACTCAAGATCGTTACGGGCAGGTTTCCAAGTGTACGCGGCAGCCAGCTCACGATAAAATCTGCCGACAGAAGGTGGAAATATCGTCAGTGGAGTCTGTCTGTTCGATCCCAGCTGCATTGGTCTTACATCAGCTCCTGCGTAAAGAGAACAAAATCGAAAACCGACAACGATTTCTTCCTACCAGGAAAGTTGTGTCGATAAAGGGTGGCCTATAAGTACCAACCAATCAAGTTAATGGCTAATTACTGGAGCTTAGAACGGAATTTCTCCACCGCAAAGGATTATACTCATTCTTAAATGATGTTTGAATAAAGCATTATCTGCAAACACACCAAAGAACATATTTGCAAGATAATCCATATCTCTTAGTACTTAGAATCCTATCTTATAATTCATTAGTGAACTTCACATTGGCAGATATCAGTTTTAACTCCTTACCACTTTCTAGAGAGACATAAGATGTGGGAAAATTGGGTTATTTGAAGAAGACACATTTTTCCGATGATTGTGGAACGAAGTCTTTCTATTCTGAGCACGTACGAGGTATCACAAAGTCAACTCCACAATGCACGTTGACACACCTTGATCGGTTAGCGTGAAGCCCTCTGAAAGAGAGAATATTCACAAAGGAGATTTATACAAATCGCCGTAAGTGATGATTTCCATCGGAACATCTGACTCTGAAATCATATAAGCCTGATCGATTTGGTAACTGCTAGGGCGGGTAGACGTATATATTACCCAGGTAGCAACAAACGAACGTCACAGCTTGTGGTTGTTTATTGATTGTTTGCAGATCAACGGTTCTGGGAATAGATTTCTCTACTTTTCCTTAGCTAATAATACATGCCTCCTGTTTATGTTGGAAAGATATAGCCGCTATTTTCTTCCATTAACCGTTGCTGGAAGTACCATCTTTAGCCGACAGGTGATACATATTTCGTCCCCATAATGGCCTCACCTGAAAAAGCGCCCCTCAGTCTGGACACTTAAGTCCACAGTTCTACAACGTGATTCGAAAATCAGATCTGTTCCCGCGTTTTTCTGAGTGCAAGAACAAATTTCGTTTGCAACACTCTTCACGCAAGGGTCACAAAGTGATTTCATGGAGTAGGTGTTCGTATCAACCCAAGGTCAACAGGGTCACCATCTTTTCCCTTTGAAATACACCGGGGATCTGACTCCCTGAAAAAGGAGTTTCTAAATTTAGGAACGATGATACCTTGCAATATTGTACACCACACGATTGAATACTAGGAAATGCATAAGGCACATTTAGAGGAAACAAGTTTCCAAAATTGGCGCGGAGGACGGATCTTTTTGGTAACCCAGTGTGGAACATAAAGTCTGAATAGTCGGTTGTTAGCTGGTCTGCATACAGATGAGTGATGAGGGCATGTAAAACACCATCTGTTAGGGCGTTGGAGATACGCATTAAATGGAATGAGAATGAAGTCCAAGGGAAGTCCCTCCATAAAGAGGAAGAAGGGAGCCAGAGATGTAGACCTCGCTGAAGTACGAAATTAGCCCTGCTGATATTTCTTTAGAACGGTATCTGCTTTCTTTAAGTCATAGTCGATTTATGTCGGCCTAAAGTTTCGATGTATACGGAAAGGATGAAGGGAGTTGCATTTTGCTACCTCTGTTAATGGACACTATCTGAATGCCCCCAGTATTTTGTTGATGCGCATTGTTAACGCACAGATGTAGGTGTGAGGAGTGACGAATGTTCGAGCCGCTCGATAAAAAGGCTTTTATGTCGGGATTAGCTGTAGGATGTTCCGAAGTTGCGCGTCTGGTACGCGCTACGTGCCCGGCATAAAAGCCGGGGAAAACGATCTCGTCGTGCCGCCGAACGTTTTCGGTTGACCTGTTGCTGTACAGCGCCCGGACAGGCCGTGATAGATATTCCGTGTCTGCGGCCACTTCAACAGGTCCTCCCGCCGATATATTACGTCTGAAGCTTCCACTGACGTATTTCACCTGCGGACATTCATCGATTGCCCCGTTCATGCAATCTCGCCCAATCACGTGGGCAATTAGTAAGATGACAGTGCAGCATTCGGGGACGAGATGCACATTCAATTATGGCCTTTTTTGTGCACCATTTTAAGAATAGATAGTTAGATATTTAGAGGGATTTGTCTCTACCACCTCAGTAATTCCACTTCGTTGCCACAGTAATGCCACTGCCTTGTGGTTTGGGGCTATAGGATTACTTTGGCGTTAGTCACCACGCGTTACTGAAGACACTGTCCCTGACCCTCGGAATTCTGAATACCGCCAAGATTCCTCCTGACAGTTTCTTATCTTTTTTTATAGGCTTTTACAAGACACCTGAGGGTTGGCATGTCAGAGAAGTGAGGAGCAATGTGACGCAGATCTGCGTAGTTAAGAATACATCTTCGTGATAAGAAGTAAGCGAGTTGAATTATTCAACAAAGTATATCTATACTTGGCACATCATACTTACATTGGGGCATTTCTACTTACATTGGGGCATTCTACAGGACTATAAGATAGTATATTCTAGACTTTAATGTCCAAGATTCATTTTGGTTTAATCAGATACACAAGTTTGGAG